CCTGGCTGCCTGGCTGGCTTCTCTCCTACTTTCTGTGCTTACATCCTGGGACTGTCCAGGGCGCCATCACACACACTGGATTTACTAGGGACATGTTTAGGCATTAGTCTCTTTTAAAGTCATTCCCTGCAGGGTTATTGGAAATGTGGTATTCCCAAACAATCCCCTTGTTTATATCTCTCAAATCATGTTCCTATGTTTCTATCAATTAACCTCCATTTGTTTTTCTTACAGGTTTTCACTGAAATCCTCCATAGGGAAATGAAATAATCTGCTACATAGGTCCGTGGCTCATCACCATCTGCTTTTAACTGAATGATGGCAAGATAGCGAAGCCCCAACACTATGTCCTGTTGTCTGTGAGTTCAGGGGTAGATGCTCAGGAGGAAGGTGCAGCCAGGCCCTCCTTCCAGCTGCAGTATAGGGGGGTGGGGGGTTGAGGGAATGAGGGTGTGGGGGGGCCTTCATGCCGTCAACATGATCACTTCCCTCTGTCTTCTTTGTATTTGCATCCAATTTTTCTTCATGATGTTTCTACCTTCCAGTTTCTCCTACCAATTCAACCTGCCAACAGAGTCCATAGGTGGCCCATTCCTTCTATTTAAACTGTATCTTTTTTTTTTTTAATATTTATTAATTTATTTATACAAGCACTGGGTACAGTCAGAAGTGTGGGAGGGTGAGAGGATTCACCAGAGCCAGAGCAGGGAACAGAACTGGCAGAGGGACCAAAGTACACTGCTGAGGGGAGCAGCCGGCACGGCAGGAGAGGTCTGCACACCATGTGGGACCCTTGCCTGGCGGCCATGAATCGAACCAGCGCTGCAGAAGCTGTGGGCAGCTTCACAGTCCAGCGCTCAATCACTGCGCCACTGGGGGAGGCCCTAATCTGTATCTTTTGATCCAGGTAAATGCTTCTATCTTGGTATCATTAAAAAATTCCAAGCCTATCTAATAAATAAGGTTGTAATTATGTTACCTTACTCAGTTTAAATGTGTTTTTCTTCCTATTTCTTTTCATTACAATATGACTTTTTTTTTTTTTTTTAATAGAGGCATGTTTTTATTTATTTGTTTGTTTGTTTGTTTATACATGCACTGGGTACAGTCAGAAGCGCGGGAGGGTGAGAGAATTCACCAGAGCCAGAGCGGGGAGCAGATCAGGCAGAAGGACCGAAGTACACTGCTGAGGGGAGCAGCGGGCGGCAGGAGAGGTCTGCACGCCATGTGGGACCCTCCTCTGGTGGCCAGGGAGCAGCCGGGGATCGAACCGGCGCCACAGAGGCTGCGGGCAGCTTCGCAACCCAGCGCTCAACCCCTGCGCCACTGGGGAGGCCCTACAATATGACTTTTAATTACATGTGCTCCTTCCAAATTATTTTATCTGTTCTTTGGGGGAACTATCAGTTATTTCCAGGCCTCATCTTTTCTCCTTCACCTCCAGTTGATTGGCACAGTAACAGTAACAGGTTTTACATTTTTATCTGCATCTTGTCTTTTTTTATTCCTCTTTCAAGGAATCCCTACTCTTGGTCCTCTAAATCAAGTTAGTGAATCGTCTGCTATCCTCTGCCCTCTGACACCTGATCCCTGAGTAGAAGTTCATTGCTCTGTATCCCCTACTAAGGTCTCTGCTGATGAATCTCAGAACCAGGGACTCGATGACATTGAAAAAAAGCATGCAATTTGCCATCTATACTCACATTTGTTCTCACACACAGAAACTGCTCATCTTTGATCACAGGGAAGATGCAGAAACAGATGGTCCTGGAGCCCACTTGGCGCTCAGAATTATTTGTTTGGAATTATATTGTACAGAAATAACAGAGCAAAAAAAAAAAAAATCAGTGAAATATCTAAAACTCTGAAACCAGGTGCAGAGGTCTCTAAACAGCACATACATCGTTTGCAGCACACTTTATTATTTGGTCAGAGTATTTGGGTACATGAATAGGTACTGAGTTAACACCATTGTGATTTCTTTTGAGACAAAGCAAACCAAAAAGAAAACTTCAAAATGTGCAACAGCAATAAATATCAAACTTTCTGATCTAAAATGTATAAATATAAAATCTCAGTCATTTTCTGGAAGCATCTTAAGAAAATCCAGCAACCACATGTCCATGGGTAGGTGTCTGGTGTTGGCGCTCATCTTCAGAACATATCACCTCAGATCCAGCATGATTATTTTTATGTCTTTTACCAACACATGTTTGCATATCTAGGAAAAAAAATGACTTTACATCATCTGTTTTAACATGATTATTTTTAGGGAAGGAGTAGAAATTTCTCATTTAGAAATATTTCCAGCCAGAACAAATACAACCATGTTTTTCATTTTCACTATGAAAATACCCATAGAAATTGCCTATCAATTTTCACTTTAAATGAATTCTAACTTCAAAACAAAATTTCTCTGATGTTAAACCAGAACACCACCAAGCAAGGTCAGAAAGAACTAGTCAAATAATGCTTCTTTTGGGCTACACAAAGCTAAGCAAGTAGTGTGATTATAATTTTCATTAAACTATGATGTAAGTAATTTGGCCCTATCAATAATAAATCATTCACTAGACATTTAAATTTCAGACACATGTATAATACACATACACATACATTCATAGATAACTTAATGCATAATCATTTCTGCTACAGAAATATTGCTATTCCCTTGTAAATAAAGTAACAGTGAGAAGAAATCAAAAGTACAAAGATTGATTAATTTTCTGATTGATTAATTTTCTGCAGAATAAGCAGTACAGTGTTTTATCTCATATTATACTGCTGCTCTTTCTCTCTTAAAAAAAAAGTCAAAAAATAAACATCTGCAAAGAAATAAACATCTGCTATATACTCACACTGAACAGCCGGGGGTCCCTGGTGTGTGGATGAAAGCCCTTCTTCTTACAAGCAGAAACCTCAAGCATGCCGGCATTGGTGAGCCTGAAGATGCCAGTGCTAAATTTCAGGGTGAAAAAAAGGCACACAAACTAAGGATCGCTTTGACTTCCTCATGCTTCATTTGAATGTCCCAGCATTCCTCAAATGGGATGGACAAAGAAACCATAAGCTAGGAATTCCATAGACATTTTAAAACCTATCTTGCCATGACACCTACAAGGACCTAGAAGGAAGGACAACACTATTTCCAAGTGCCTGCAGGATTGTGAGGAGGAAAAGGCAGCTGAACTTTTGTATGAGTTCTTCCTCCCAAGAGGAAGGGAGGAAATTATAGGTGGAAGACAGTTCTGATTTTTCTAAGATGCTAATAGTGTTTACAGTAACAGCAAACATTTATCGAGTGCTGGCTCCAGTACCAAGTATTTTGCTGAGCCCTTTACAAACACTATCATCTCGTTTTACTCTCACCATAATCAGTGGTAGACAGGCATTGGGATGAAGAAACTGAGGGTCACAGAGGTCAGGGATTCTGCTAGACACACCACTAGTGGGTGGAACCAAGATTCCAACATAAGATTCTCTGGCTCCTCTCCTGGTAATCACACTGCAATAAACACTGTGTCCCTAACCAAGAAATGTTTTGGAGGTAAACAAGCTAAGGCTGGAAAATTTCCTACAAAAGGAAGTATCACAGTAGAGCAAAGATCTCAAAAGGCAAACTGGAATAATATCCAGTTTATCCACTTTAAAATCATGCTAATGAGAGAAAAAACCAGCAATTTTACCACAGACAGTACCTTTAAAAGCAAAAGGACTGCCCAGGTACAGGTATTTGGGAGCTGGCTGGCACCAATCTCTTTTTTCCAAGATCCTGGGATACCCAAACACACCTGAGCCTGCAGTACCAGGCACAGCCTTCACTTGGGCTGCTCTCAGTAGTTACTATTCTTTATATATATATATATATATATATATATTTTTTTTTTTTTTTTTTTTTTTACATCACTGTTCATTTTTCTACAATGTTTGCTTTCTCCTCTCAGGTGTATCCCTGTAATATTTCCCACCACCAGTTCACCCATGCATGGAGTAGTTACTATTTTTAACCATTACACTTACTCATTATGCTTTGGTGAACAAACAATGGCAATTGCCTCTGGCAACATGAGCTGATAGGAACAGTGAGTGTGAAGATCCACGCTGGATAAGAACACAGGTTGAGTGGGATGGGTCTGCAGGAAGAGGAGGACAAACTTATTAGGGTCACTGAGCCTTAGTCTAGGCCGTGGCCTACTCTATGAGAAAACACTAGTTTGCTTTTTCTTTTTCACCATCATTAATCAAACCAGAACTTTTAAAAACATCTTCCTGACATAATTTTTTCCTGTATCTCAGGAATAACTAGGATTTTTAGAAGAGGTTCCTGGGAATGTTCATGTACTTTATGCTTATTGGGGAAGACAGAACTGGAAATTAATTTGCCAGAGACTTGGAGTAGATTCTCATTCATTGGTTACAACTCACGCAGGGGCTATTTCCATTATCATGTTGATTTTGTGTACAAAAAACCTGATGCTCAGGGTCACACAGCTGGGAGTGGAAACCCAGAGGTGTGTACATGCAAAACCACTGACACAAAAGAAAGTTTTTACTAAAAGTCCCACATGTTGCTGTTACCCTTTGGTGGATCACCTCCCTACAAATGGACAGTGGACCCCAAGTTGTTGACTGTATTCAGGACTCATCTTGCACAAGTGAATACACAGAAGCAATTATACATAAAAAGAAGTATATTCCAGGCTTTTTGCCTACATACAAACTTGTGTTTTTAAAAGATGAATCAGAAGTTCATATTTGAATATGAATAATATATAATAATACATGTATCCACATGATTTTAACATTCATAGTAAGTCATAATTACCCTTGAAAAGGGAACATGACTTTTAATCGTGAGACTAAGGTTATTGGCTTGCACTGTTTGAATTCTGGGTTCACTACTCACTAGCAGTGTGCAACTGTGAAGGTTACTTCCTCAGACCCATTCGATCAATTGCAAAATAGGGATAACAGCCATTTCCTTCATGGGATGCCTATGAAAATTAGATGAGACAATTCACATAAAAGTTCTTAGAACAGTGCCTAGCACACAGAAAGAAAGGATTGCTATGTTATTGCTGCTATGTTAGTGTTGCTATATTAATTAAAAGTCATTGGCCCACAGAAATAATTTCATGCTTTTTACACATACTGAAGTCCTGTTGAAGAAATCCAAGATTTTAAAATTCCTTTCCCCTTTGAACATGTGGTATATTTATTCAATGAAATACAACTCAGCTATAAAATAAAAAGATGAAATCTTGCCATTTGTGACATTATGGGTGGAACTAGAGGTTATTATATAAAACAGAAAAAAGGGAATTTCAGATGTATCACTCATGTGTGGAATATAAAGAAATAAAACAAAGAAACAGACAAAAATAAAACCAAAACAAACCCTAGAAATATGACTAAAGAATTGAGGCTACCAGATCATATGGGGTGGAGGGTAAAGGTGGGAGGGGCCCAAGGGATTGTGGGGGGTCATGAGATCTTGGGGTGTGTGTGTGGTGACTGACATCTGAGGAGGTGTGAACCTGTACCCCGAAATCCTATGCAGTATTATGAACCAACATTACCTCAATAAAAATAATGCAATTTTTAAAAAACCAAAAAAATAAATAAAATTCTTTTCCCCTTTAACATAGTGAAGGTAAATTCCATGGACATCTGTCTACAGAAAGATGCATGTTCAATAGGAAAAAAATAACTCTTAACTTGGTTTGCAAAGCTCTAGAAGGACTGAGGAAAGGAAATTATCCTAACTTTTAAAACTCAAATTTTTAGTGAGGGCACAAATGTGAGGATCTGGCTGCCCTTTATCTGAATTTGTGAAAAACTCCAACAAGTACAGAGAGCTTTCCAGACCTTGGTGAGAAGGTAATACGTGTTCCTAGGAGTTGTAGTGCCTTGGGGGCAGTGAGCAGACTGGCAACAGACAATTTATTATTATGACTATTAATTTATTTTCAAAATGAATGCACACCACAAGAGATTCTGAGCCCTTCATTTCTGCCAAAAGGAATTATTTCTCTGATGAGGACAGTTCTCCTACTCCCCACTCTATGAAAATAAAAATGATGATGATGACGGCGACGACTCAAAGACACGAGAGGAGACACCATTTAACGCAACTGAACAATGTGCCAGGCATTGAACTGTCACTTTCCATGAATCATCTCATTTAATTTTATAGCAAAAAGATAAGTGTTATTATCCCCATTTTACAGATGAGGAAACTGAGCTCAACAGAATAGGAAGTGATCTGCTGAAGGTTACAGGGCTAGTTAAGCTGAGAAAACTTAATACAAATCCAGATCTGTCTGATTCTGATTCAATTCTCCTTTCCAATGGCTCATTTATATCTGAAAAAAGTTAACTCTGGAATTTGTTGCTGTCATTATGCTCAATAGCATTATCACCAAAAGTCATTACAACCATTGAGGTTTAGAAACATAACTTTATAGAGTTCTATATGGTAAAATAAATTAAACAAAAAGCAAAGTCAAAAAAGTCTACAATTATGTCAAGTTCATTAAATACTTAACTTCATTATATACATTCATTATATACAAAGGTCTTAAGATAAAAACTTCTGCCTTTAATTTGGAAAATGTTTTCTAAGATAAACTAAATCTGACTTTTGAACATGTACAATTAAATGCACTGTCACTCTTCCTTAGTTTATGTTCAATTTATTTGCTACAATTTTGTTTTTGCTTTGTTATACATTCTTGTTACATAAAAGTCACATTAAATTAATGTATTTGAAATCATCAATTTCTAAGCAAAGAGTAAGGCACATTACCTACTGTTAAGTAAAACAAATGGACATAAAGAAAGTTTTGCAAATTTATTACAAGTAATTTCTTGCATTTGAAAGGCAGTTTATGCTTTTCAAAGGGCTTTCATACCTATTGTCTATGGTTCACACAAATCCCATGAGGAAGGGAAGTAATTCATTAATGGAACTGATTAATGAAGGAACCTGAAATAAGGGAACTGTGAGTCCTGACCAAGGGCACATCGTAATTTATAGGTGAAACTAAAACTAAAGCCTCCTCCACTCTCTTAAATTACCCAACACCAAATGCTTGGCTTGTGTGTGTCCTGAACCAATTGATGCTTCTCTATAAAGCAAGTAAAATTAAAAATGGTCACTTATCACTCTTCAGGGGCTCTTGGAGGTCCCCAGAAGTGTCCAGGAAATCTTGGCCAGCATCCTATAATAGTACCCAGAAGTATAAACTGAATACCAGACAGAGTACACCATGGATAGGAAAATAGAATACTATCACCAACAACAATGAGCCAAAATTTTCTAAGATCCCAGAAATATGTGCTAAAAAATTCACTGATATAATCTCATTTAATACTCACCATCACCTGGACCCAGCTGCGAGGGTCACTGTTAGTCAGATTGCTTAAGGAACTTGCCAACATTTCTATATTGAATTCTTGGCAGAGTTGACTTAAACTCATGTTTTTGATTACTAATCCCTTTCCTGCCCCTATAATGGCCAGGTGGATTTTGCTGGCCTCCCCCCCTTGGTCCTACACTTAACTGTATGTACAGTTGATGCCAGCAGTAGAGGTGAAGTGGACATTATGGCTCTCACCTGACATGTATAAACAAGTCGAAAGAAGGTATTTTTAAGAGGAGGGGTAAGGGAACTGGAGGAAGGTGTGAAAAGATACAAACTTCCAGTTATAAGATAAATAAGTGCCAGAGATGTAATGTACAACATGGTGACTGTGGCTAGTACCTGAGGATCATACACAGCGAAGTTGTTGAGAGAGTAAATGATAACATTTCATAATCACAGTGAAAAATGTTTTTCTTTTTATTATAGCAATATGAGATGAGAGCTAAACCTACTTATACATGTTAATTATTCCTCAGTAGAACTGGAGAAAACAAGCATTCTCAGAAATTTTCCTAAAATAATCTGATCTAGACCCTATAGCAAAGGGAAAAAGAATATTAATAATTGTGTAGTCAAAGCAATTGAGAGTCTGATTAGGCCTCCATTATATTACCTAAAATCATCAAAACAAGTCATCTAATTTCTAAATGTTTCTCTCACTTTTAACTTCGATGGTAGAAAACAGCTTAATATTGCCCTCTCCAAACCCAGATTTGACACAGTTATTCACGGCTTAGCACTGAAGAAGATGCTTTGAACATATGATGACATTATTACACTTGAAAAATGAAAAATAAGCTATTTAAATGAAACTAAATTTTCTCAAGGAGAAAAACAACACAACACAAATGAATAAAGAGACTCAAGAGGTCAAACGTACATGAATCCATCCCAGAGTGAGAAGACCGTGTTGATCTTGAACACTGAATAATTCCTCCACATTCTCCACGTCACAATAGTCAGGTCCCGCAGACTGCCTTGGCACGATTACGTGGGTAATTGTAAATTCATTATGTGTCTAAAAAACAAGTAGCAAAAAGAATAAAAAACATCTGATAGGAAAAACAGAACATGAATAGAAAGCACAATGTTTTCCTGTGGGGGCAGAAAGTGTCTCACCACTGATATCTCCTCCTGCCCCCATCACAATTTAAAAGGAATTCAAAAAGCCCAAACTTGAAAATGTATTATGTGCCAATACTCTGGCTGTTGTCTGGAGCATGAAGCTCATTCTTACAACAGAAAATTTATCATAAGTAGGAATTAGCATCCCAGGCTGGCCCACGGAAGCTTAGTTAATAAATGTCTTATGTTTCACATTCGCAAGGGAAACACCAGTATAAAATAGTAGCAGGGGAAGGGGAGACGGGAGACTATAGTCAAATGATTTTCTGGAGTTACTGAAGGACATTTGTAATGTTTGTGCAGGCTGATGGTCTTGTTTTTATTTTGTTAATAATATTTTGCTTTGAGGGCCTCCCTGCTGGCACAAGGGTTTTAGTCTCAGCACTATGAAGCTATCAGCAGCCACTGCAGTTTGCTCCCCGGGAGCCGACCCACATGGCGCAGCAGACCTCTCCAGTCTCACCCACTGCTCCCCTCAGCAGTGTGTTTCCGTCAGTCCACCTGTTCTGTTCCCCACTCTGTCTCTGGGGAATCCTCTCACCCTCCCATACCTCTGGCCTACACCCCAACTCCTGTATGAATAAATAAACCAGTCTTTAACAAAAACGTTTTGCTTTGACACATATGACTTTTTTCTACCATTGGAGGAACTCAATGAAATTTTCCATAATTAAGGTTACGCTTTGAACTTGCAAAATTAGATAAAGAGAAAGGAAAATCAAATGACAACACTCAGGTGAAAGATAAGAGTTGAAGGAGGAGGAGTGTGGAAGGTGGTCAAATCCTCAGGTAGAAGACGTCTGTGCTGGGAGCTGCTTCTAGCCCTCCATGGTGCCATTTCCCCTCTCATCTTCCTTCAGCCTATATTGCAACTCCTCCCTCCATCCCACGTCCATCTTTCTTAGCTAACTTTGTATATTCTTCCAGCCCAGCATGACCATCACTTCTCCAGGAAACCCTTCTAGATCCTTGAAGACAAGTTTAGTTTCCCAATTACACATTCCCGTGATATCCCACACTTCCACTGAGAGCCCCCAGCCCATTGATAATTAGTCATGTCTGCATCTTCATAAGCATCTTATAAGCATCCTGTGGCCAGGGGCTGTGACTGTTGGAGGCTACTGAATGCCAAGACGTAGCACAGTGTCTGGCACATATAGGTAATTAGTAAAAGTCTGTCAAATGAAGGAATCAATCAATCAATCCAACTAAGTCCAACATAAGGTCTTGGGGAGAAGCAGCCACAGTACACTGTTCCCTGAAAGTGGATCATTCTCCTGTGCTTGTCACCTGTACTACTTCTCTGTCTTGGAGGAAAGTAAAGATGCAGCAGTAGAATACAATAGGAGAACATGTATTGAGCAAAACATATTATTCAGTTAAACAACAGTGCCCAAGCTAAACATATAGGGCTACAAATAATCCTGCATCCAAAAATACAAATTGATACCCAAGAGAAAATAGTAAAGGACACATCCAAAGAACACCATTCATTTCTGTTGAAAAAAGGAAACTAAATACACCTTCATTCTATCTCCTATTTTGACATCGTCTTTCATATTTCTGATAAAATATTTCATATTTAAATATGACCTGTGTTGTAAGATTTCAGTTAGTTGAAGCCACTGCCTTGACCTAAAGAATTCGGCAAAACCTCAGATTATTGTTAAATAACAATAGGTTAAAAAGTAGGTTTATTTTATTTACTTATTTATTTTTAAAGATTTATTTATACAAGCACTGGATACAGTCAGAAGCGCGGGAGGGTTAGAGAATCCACCAGAACCAGAGGGGAGAGCAGAGCAGGCGGACTAATGAAGTACACTGCTGAGGGGAGCAGCGGGCGGCAGGAGAGGTCTGTGCACCATGTGGGACCCTCGCCCCTTGGCCAGGGATAGAACCAGTGCTGCAGAGGCTGCAGGCAGCTTCGCAACCCAGCGCTCAACCGCTGTGCCACGGGGGAGGCCCTAAAAAGTAGGTTTAATGGTATAAATGTATGCGAAACTAACAATTGCAATAGGAATTTGATTTAGAAAACCTGGTTTTGGAAACCCCACCATTTTCCTAAACAAATAAAAATTATGGCTGGATTAATGCTTTACAACAAGCTTTTGAAATTTTACAATGCATTTTTTTCTATGATAATTTCATTAGTAATGACAATAGCTTTATTAAATTAATCTGTCAAGTTAATTTACTAATATTTGTAAATCTTAGGATGCTTTCTGCTCTGCTTAGAACAAGAAAGCCAGTGCTATTGAAAGAATCCTATAGAAGGACATGAAACAAAGACCATACCAGTTTTCCACAGAGTATTCCACAGGTTTCTATTCCTCTCACTGTATTAGATTCTGCAAGCAACAAAAATCTGTGGGAAAGGTCTCTTGATAAAACCACACATCGCAGTCCTTCAACTACTAAATCTAAGAGACAGAAAAGGGAGAAAAGATTAAAAAACAAACCTCACCACCTCCTCCTCCATTCTTCAAAGCTGTTTTGGCAAGCAACTGCAGTTCAATGTCACTATCAAAAATGAAATTATCAGGTGGTCCTCTTTCCACACTTTATCTTAAAACACATAAAGGTAAATGCTTATGAGAAGGAAAGTAAAATTATTCTTTGCATATAAATTAGGAACAGATGAGGCGGTATAAGCACTTTTATGCTTTTGTGTGCTAGTCAACTATTTACATGTGTGTATGTGTTTTCTTTAGCACAAAGCATATATATGCATAAAACATATATACTTATATAATAACCATAGGCTGTATAGAATACATCTTAGATAAAGATTCTTTATGGTGTTTACTATCTGTTACATAAATCTTTATGATGTTGGTGATCATTAACTAAAGACAACACATTTTCAGAAATAATTAGCAGTGATTATAAAATGGTTGCCTATCTTTTAAAATCAATGGGAGCACAAATCCCATCTGATAACATCTGCCAGGAAGAGTCCCCATTTAATTTTGGCAACTTGCCAGCACTGATCTAGGGTACTAAATCAGCACTAATTGTTGGCAGAAACACATAATCCATTTGGTTGTTAACTACCTACGTGTATGAGATCCTCCTAGGCCAGAGAAATGCTACACATTGCAATGTAAATTACTGAGGAATATTCTGGATGAACAATTTTCTCAACATCATCTTCTCTTTCTAGTGTTAACTGTTAACCTTTAAGATTCATGTATTTCCTGATTAAAATACATGAAAGAAAAGATATTTGGAATTTTTCTCTCTTAAAATCTCTGTGCCACAACAAAACAAAGTCTACTGCTTATTGCTTATTAGAGCATCTGTTCTATGGGGCAAATCAGGGTATCTGAATTTCTTGGTTACAGAGAGTAAAAGGCAGCTGGTGTTGGAAAACTGGCTATGTCGTTCACACCACATGATGCACCAAAACTGACAATGAAATGAGACTCCTAGAGGAGCTTGGACAGCTTGGACTATAAGCTTAGCGTCTTGCAGGGGTGCATTTCATCACTTACTCTGAACAGCACTTAGAGTAGCAGCTGGCTTTAAGGCCCTGTTGACTGGAGGAGAGTGGCTGGCCAGATCGCTTGCATCACTTTTATTAGGTTGATCTCCAAGTATATTCAGCAAGGAATTGTTCTGGCACGTGGAAAGACAGGACAAAGCACTCCCATCAATCTGCTCTGACAGCACCGAGGTTTCCTGGCTGGGTATATGACCCCGGGCTAATTCTTGCTTCTTAAGTTGATCTTCGAAAAACAGAAACTGCTCTGATTCTAGCTGCTGCTGGCGCATCTGGGCGATCCGCTTCCTCTCAGCCTCTATCAGTCTCTGATGTTCCAGTTTTTTGAGAATTTCGGCTTTATATTTGTTCTAAAAAATGTGGTTGCCAGAATCAAAGGTTAGTTTCCCAGGCAGAAATATCAAACTGACATTAGATGCTTTTGCTCTTCTCTCAGACAGACATAGCTCAGATAGAAATATGTCTCCAGGGAATCACAATGGAAACAGCACTGGAAAAATGCTAATCTGATGAAGGCAGCAGTTCTAAATTCACTCATTTTGATGAGAGCTAGGCATGGCAATCAAGTCCCCTCCATTCCCCTGTTCTTTTAAATATTAGAAAATCAAGGTCAAGGTTGTCATGCTCAGCCAGACCAACCAGATCATATGGAAAAAATACCTTAGGATTGATTCTATCAGCCTAAACTGCACTGTCCAATAGAGTAGCCATTAGCCATATGTAGTAATTTATATTTAAATCAATTAAAATGAAATAAAAAAATTAGAAATTCAGTTCTGATCCTGAATTCGGTCTCGGTTCCCTTAGCCAGTCAAAGGAAACCGATTTTGAGGAGAAGGAAGGTAGTTTGATTTGTCGACAAACTGAGGAGGGCAGCAGACTTGTGTCTGAAAGACCACCGTCCTGCTCTTTGACAGAGGGTTGGGGTATTTATCCAGAGTTCCAAGGGAGAAGAAGGGGGAGTGGGCAAGGATAAGCCTGTCCATCCTTCAGACACAAGCGTCTGGAGGTTTCGGCTGAGGCCAGCTTGCTTTTGCTATCACCTCGTGTCAGCAATTCAGATGTGATCTTCCTAACAAGGCTCTCTTTCCTCAGAATGTAAGAAAACAAAGTTCGTTAAGCCTAGAGGGTAAATAAAGGAAATGGGAGGGCTTATCTGGTGGGACAGAAAGACAAGTCCTGCATTGCTGCATCATTTTCTCAGCCGTGCTCGCCACAGTTTAAGCACATGCAAGCCACATGGCTGTGGCCTCCATAGCCACCATCACAGGAAGTCTCCTTGCACAGTGCTGCCCTGGAACATTTTGCATTTGACTCTAGAACTCGTACAGTTGGAACTTTATGGAGAAGGAGGATTCACTATGAAATAATTCTCAAAATCATGGCCCAATCACCTCTATCATGAGCCAGGAGTTTGATTAAAAATGAAGGTTCCCAAGCTCACCTGTCTTAACAAAAATATGCAAGCATTATTAGGTCAGAGAATAGAAATTTTTAATAAGTTTCCCAAATGATTTCGATGAAAACGAGACTTTTGGAAAGAGGTGGGTTGGGAGCCCAGTTTTCAGCAGCACTTTGATAAACACACCATCATCCCGGCTTGCTACAGGACACGTTTTCCTATGGCAGGGCTGGAGTTGGATCCGAGATTCTGCATTTCTAAGTCAAGGACAACATTGGTGCTCCTGTAGCAAGAACTGGTGTGTCTATTCAGCTCCTGTAGGAATACAGGTTGCCACCAAGTCCCCCTAGAGATGGCAACATGTCATAAACTGGGGACTGTGACCTAATGGGTATCACTGAATGCGGACAGCACAACAGCTGCTGAGGTGGTCCCAGGAGACAACCACACACAAAACTGAGTGGGGAAGGGAGTCTGCACTGGGCTTTTCTCTCCCTACTATTCTTTGTCTGAGCCCCCAAGGTCATTTCTAGCCTTCAGAGTTCAAATCAAGTTATTAATATTTACACTTAAGGGGAACTTTTGATTTTGATACTTTTTTTTTTTTAAGATTTACTTATTTATGCATATAAGAGTATGGGGTACAGGCCAGAGGTGTGGGCGGTGAGAGCATTCACCAGAGACAGAGTGAGGAGTAGAACAGGTAAACTGACTGAAATACACTGCTGAGGGGGACAGCGGGTGAGACAGGAAAGCTCTGCTGCGCCAGATAGGTCAGCTCCCTGGCTGGGGATCGAACTTGTGCTGCAGTGGCTGTGGATAGCTTCATAGTGCTGCGTCTTAACCTCTTGTGCCACCAGGGAGGCCCCTGATTTCAATACTTTTTTACCACTTAGTTAAAGCACCTCTATCAAACCTGACTTGTGGTTTATGCCCATGGAAAGTAGAGCTAAGTATGTTTAGAGTCAGTGAGACTGAACTAAAAAAAGAATCAGTAAAGGTGACAACTTCTAAAGCAAATAAACACAAAAACAAATAACAAAAAAAAGCAAAACAACCTTTATCACAATGTCATCAACATTAAGAATTCATGTTTTGAACTTAAGAATCCTTAGACTGATCAATTTCTACTTTCATAGCCTTTCCATCTCTTAGATATTATGATCATTTCACTCTTTATTTAATAGCAGTCCAGAAACTATCACCTCTTGGTGATACAATTACATTTGTCTCATATGATTAGTTATTCTTCCATCTCAATGTAATATTAACTGTAATACTTAAGAATCTAATTTACAATTTCAAGGCTTACATAATTAGATATATCAGAAACCATATACTTCTCTCCCTACTTCCTACTGCCTTTATTCATTGGCAAAGAACTGGCCTGGGACTCAAGGTTACATTGGCAAGTGATGGCCAAAACTCTCTATTTGAATCACTATCGGAAATCTACTTTCTAAGCCATCACTTTATTAGATGTTGCAGGAAAATAAAAATACCACATCTTTGTTGCAAATGCTTCACCTGAACATCAACATGAATTTTTTTTATTGCTGTATCTTTAATATTTAATTTAAATACATGTGACATTTGAAAAACCCATCATATGAAAATGAAATAAAAAATATTTGCATAGAAAACAGTCATGAAATAAATGTACCAATTGAACTTACTTTGCTTTGCAAATATTCTTGGTATTCTACGTTATATTTCTTTAAAAGGTCCTTTTTCAATTCATCTGTCCTTGGGAATGCAATCTCCTTCAGTTTCTTTTAAAAATATATATATATACACATTGATTAGTAGGATTTTCAGTATAGTCTTTCAAATCATCAGCTGAGAAAGAAAAACAGCTGGTATGTATATCAGAAGTTAAGACACAAGTAACCAAAGGTGATGGTGGAAAAATAAAACTCACTTTTCTAGGCTCCAAGATATAATGCCTTAATTGGGAGGGCAAAGAACTATCCCTTTTGAAAGACCTTTCTTGACTTCACTGGTAAGATAAGCATTTTGTTTAGACAAGTGCCCCATTTTTGGTAGTGAGTTTCTAACTACACATTTCACAGTACATAAATAATGAGGCATCACAGTCTGAAGGCAGATCAGAGAGCATGGCAGGTACAAATTCTTATACTGGATAGAGTGTAAAAGACAGCTGTTGCACTTTTAAAAAAATATATAGATTTCCAGGCCAAATCCCAGATCCTTTGAATCAAAATGCTTAGTAAAGGAATGGGGGAATCTGGATCTCAAACAACTTCCCTGGTAATTCTATTGGTAGGAAAAGCTAGGAAATCTGCTATAGTGGGTGGAAATCTGCCATAGTGGGTGAAAATCCAAGCACCACCCTGCCCCTTTTTTAGAGATGAGGAAACAAAGCCTAGGGAGTTCCAACTAGCTAGTGGCCCAGTTAGGACTAGAATTCCAGTCTTCTGACTCTAGATAGGCTCTTTCACTGAACTTGCAATCTTTTAATCCTTTATCATCCATCCACCCACCCACCCACTTATTCAACAAGCATAAACAAGAAAATGTATATATTTTTAAAGAATTTTCTCCTACAAGTTGAAAATAAGAATAACCCTAAATAAAAGAGTCATACTGGTAGCCTGGACCTTTGGATTCCATACAGAATTCTCTGAGGTTGAATGAAAGAGCAAATTGCAGGGAAATACTATACAAAGGCATAATAATGAATGATTCTTTAGATAAGGGTGTGTAGAAATTAAGGAGATAGGATGGCCACTTGACAAAATCTGAGTTCTGCTTATAGGCAGCCTCTGGCCTGACATAAGTGGTAGAAGAGCCTTTACTGAGATAAAATATTTTTCAAGAGTTATTTAAAATTTCAGGCTGTGGTTGGCTTTGTACACACTACTTTGACTTCATTATAAGATCAACCCAAACTACTTAAGACAATTACATAAAAACATTTAAAAATACAATTTAGAAGGATATACTCTCAGGTAAAGATATCTGAATATATAAGACAGAGCAAAGATTGATGATTAATAAAACATTTCAGACGTATCCCTTTTTCTCAGGCCCATTTCAGTGCACACACTAAATACTTTATTGACCTATTAGGCTAATATGATAAAAAAAAAAACAAAAGTATTCGGTTCTTTAGGGGAATATCAACCCCCCAATACCTTCATAATATCCTGCTTTTCCGGTACTGCACATTGCTGGTAATCTCGATGGCTGGGAAGTTTTTCTACAAACAAGCTGCGGAAAGAAAAAAACACGTCCTCAGCATTATATGATTAAAAAGTTAAAAGTTCAATGATGATTTCTAAAATGAGAATGAGAGAGACACTTTTCAAAAATGACATGTTTAATAATTTTTTATTTAACCTGTATCCTTTCTGTCAAAGGTTGGTATGAGTTTGGCATTGCTGGGTAGGTAATCTCAGCAAACTAAGCACTGAGATTAAGAGGGTTAAGTTCACCAAGCTCTCTAAATAGACTGTATGGCTTTGGTCTTTATCAGGTCCTGGTTGCTTAACTTAATTGTCTAAATTTGCAAGAAGTTAATTATCTTAAATAAAATGCAGAGCCCAATTTGTATACCAATATAAATCGTTGTTAATTTCACTTGTGGTACACACTGACTACAGTTTTTAAAACAGTATATCTTTTCAACTTCTCAAATGTTCTCTAGTTAAATCCCCAACTGAACTAATGAAATGATTTTCAATTAAATGAAAATGACTTCCAATTAAAACCAGAATAAGGGATTCACTTCAAATTAAACAATTATTGGTAACAGGCAATCCTCCCAACCAGTAAGCTGGGAAATTGGTATGGAAATTCTAAATCCCATTTCTGCTAATTCTTAAACTAGGAAATCTTATTAACAAATATCTATCAAGGGCCTCCCCGGTGGCGCAGCGGTTGAGCGCTGGGTTGCGAAGCTGCCCGCGGCCTCTGCAGCGTCGGTTCGATCCCTGGCTGCTCCCCGGCCACCGGAGGAGGGTCCCACATGGCGCACAGACCTCTCCTGCCACCCGCTGCTCCCCTCAGCAGTGTATTTCGTTGGTCTGCCTGTTCTGTTCCCCGCTCTGGCTCTGGTGAATTCTCTCACCCTCCTGCGCTTCTGACTCTACCCAGTGCTTGTATAAATAAATAAATAAATCTTAAAAAAAAAAAAAATCTATCAAAGCAAAATATATCTTCATGTGGCTGTTTTGATATGCCACTTCCACTCAACATTTTGAAAGTTCTTATACACACTGCACTAATACACTGTTAAATAAGATGCCTTCGAAAGAACCACTAATGGGCCTCAATCCAAATGCGCCAAAATAGATGACTGGATCAAGAAGATGTGGTATATATACACAACAGAATATTATTCAGCAATCAAAAAAGATAAATTCATGCCATTCGCAGCAACATGGATGGAACTAGAAGGAATTATGCTCAGTGAAATAAGCCAGAATGAAAAAGAAAAATATAGGATAGTTTCACTTATAGGAGGAATACAGGGGAACCAAATAAGACATCAGTGTAAAAAAATAATAACAGTACAAAACACAACAAAGCAAAAATGGACAAATATAAATCAGAGACATACTGCAGGGGAGGAGGCGGGAGAGGGATCAGAGGGAGGGAGGGAGGAGCACAGGGGCTGAGGTGATGGTGCACAGGTGCATTGGTGAAGGAAACTCTATGGGGACTCCACCTGAGGGGGTGGGGAGAAACAAATATTGCTTAAAAGTGAACAATGACGTAAAAAAAAATATATATATATAAAATATAAAAAAATTAACTTAAAAATAAAAAAATAAAAAACAATTTATTTTATGAAAAAAATAAAAAATAAAAGAACCACTAACTGGCCTCCCTGGTGGCACAAGGGGTTAAAGCACAGCACTGTGAAGCTATCTGCAGCCTCTGCAGCGAGTTTGATCTCGGCAGGGCAGGGAGCTAAGCCACATGGTGCAGCAGACCTCTCCTGTCTCACTCGCTGCTTCCCTCAGCAGTGTATTTCAGTCAATCTGCCTGTTCTATTCCCCACTCTGTCCCTGGGGAATCCTCTCACCCCCTGCACCTCTGGCCTGTACCCCAGTTATTGCAAGCATAAATAAATACATCTTTAAAAAAATAAAAATTAAGGAACCACTAACTACGATGTGCAGCTGACTGTTCTATTCCATCTCTGAATCAGACCCTTCCTGATTGTCAACTTATCCTCCACTCACAGTTGTTTAAATCGATTTTTGAAAATGCTAATGGATTGCAGATGTTATCAGTGAAGCTGCAATGTGACTCCTGCTCTGATAAATCTGACATTTCTACACAGGGAGGTGGCATGGAATGAGACTTTTTTTTTTTTAAAGATTTATTTATTTATTTATACAAGCACTGGGTACAGTCAGAAGCACGGGAGGGTGAGAGAATTCACCAGAGCCAGAGCCGGGGAGCAGAGCAGGCAGGAGGACCGAAGCACACTGCTGAGGGGAGCAGCGGGTGGCAGAAGAGGTCTGCGCGCCATGTGGGACCCTCCTCCGGTGGCCGGGGAGCAGCCGGGGATTGAACCGCGCTGCAGAGGCCACGGGCAGCTTCGCAACCCAGTGCTCAACCGCTGCGCCACCGGGGAGGCAGGAGACTTTTTTTTTTAAATTTATTTATTTATGCATACAAGAACTGGGGTATAGGCCAAAGGTGTGGGGGGTGAGAGGATTCACCAGAGACAGAGCGGGGAACAGAACAGGCAGACTGACTGGAATACACTGCCTAGGGGAGCAGCAGGCGAGACTGGAGAGGTCTGCTGTGCCATGTGGGTTGCTCCCTGGCTGGGGATTGCACTCATGCTACAGTGGCTGCAGACAGCTTCATAGGTTGCATCTTAACCCCTTGCGCCACCAGGGAGGCCCCAGAACAAGACATTTTATTTGTAGAGTGTTAAAGAGAGACCTGTAGTTTATGGTGTCAGCCTGCTGAGCGGGGCCCCATAACCCCGATTCCCTCCCGACCCCGACCATCTTCCCATCCCTAAACTTCAGAGAGGACGTAGGGGTGCCTTTGAGTACATTGCTTGGTAATTTAAAAGCATTTCATGTTTCTGCAGATTGTAAAATTGGTCTGGATATGAAACACTCCTCTCATCCAAATTGAAGACTTACGTTATAAATTTATTGTAGAGAACAAAGGCATTTTCCAAGTTTCCTTCTTCTAAATACACACATGCCATCCTTTCCATTTCTACTCCAGATCGAAAGTAGCAGCGTGGGGTGATGTCTTCGCTAATACTAATATTACAACCCAGCTTGCTCAGAGCGCGGACTCGCTCTTCTGGACTCAAGGAGACATCCGTATGGTCAGGCATAGCAGCTAACTTTTTCTGCAGAGAAAAATTTGAGTTTCTGATTATGATTAAAATTATGGATGCATTTTCTGTATTATATTTAACATGAATACCTATGGAAATCATTTCATAAGTTAATAGTAACTTAAAGTGAAATATTTTTGCTTAAACATGTGATCTATATACTTAACACATATCTCCAAAGTAAACATTTATTTTTACTGGGATAAGAGCTCTTTTAAGTTTCAGGTGCAAATATGTGGCAGTTCCTGAGTTTGCAAATGTTCTAGCTCATTTTAAGTAAAATATCATTGAGCTATATATGCTCCTGTTTTCATTATGGGCCAAGTGAAGCAGGCAAAGTGATGGATGCCTATAAAGGTAGGACTCAAGTCTTCCTCCTCTGAAGGATCTCCAAGAGGCAGCTTAGATTTAAAGTTTCTGTAAGAATTCAATTCTATTCCCGAGTATATGTTAGCAGGCAGACTGAGGGGCACCCCGGGGCACTCAAACTTGTGTGCTCCAAAGGGATTCTTCCGTTCACCACATGAAAACAAAGCATATCCCTAATGTGAAAGATATTTAACAGAATGATTGTACATAGAGAGGGAAGAAGAGAAGGGATATAGTTTCCCAGTGAAACACCTAATGGATGTAATTTTCCAGTGAAACATCCCCTTGTAGGCAAATGTCCAGCTAAACAGGCCTGGCCCAAAGGGGGGGCCGCTGAAGCCCAAAAGCTTGCCACAGTCTGAGATACCTTTGGGTGGGGACCCATAGGAAAGGGGTAGAAGGGACCAGGCAAGTCTGGAAGGAAAGGAGCAAAATCAAATAACAAGTTAACAGCTGCTATTATCAGCCTCCTCAAGTGTCTCTTCCAAATGTTTCTACGTTTCTTGACTCCACAGGTCTCTTCCATGTCCCACCCCCAATATATACTCCCCTTATCCCATGTTATTCGAGGGCCTTCATCATAAATGGATGTTGGACTTTATCAAATGCTTTCTCAGTATCTATTGATATGATCACATGGCTTTTATTTTTCTTTTTGTTGATATGATGACTTACATTAATTGATTTCCGGATGCTGAACCATCCTTGTGTCCCTGGAATAAATTCCATTTGGTCATGATGTGTAATCCTTTTGGTGCATTGTTGGACTCAGTTTGCTAAGATTTTATTGAGGATTTAGGGTAAATGGCCTCTGGTTTTCTTTTTTTGGGTTGTCTTTGTTTGGTTTTGGCATTTGTGTGATGTTGACCTTGTAAAATGGTAATTATTTCTTCTTTCTCAATTTTTTGAAAGTTTTTGAAGGGTAGGCATTAGTTCATCTTTGAATGTTTGGTAGAACTTGCTTGTGAAACCATCTGGTCCTGGGCTTTTGTTTTTGGGAGGGTTTTGAATATTGTCCAAAAATTAACAATGATGTAAGAGAATAAATAATAAAAATATTGGAAATCTTTGCATCTCAAAAGGCATGTTCATGTTATGAACATGAAAATGCAAAAAAATTAAAAAAAAAAGGCAAATTCCTAACAGGCTTTACATATTTACAGACTCAGAGTCTCCCAGATGTGGGAGGGTGTTCCTCCAGGCAATTAGACAGGTACAATTTGAGAAGCACTGCTTTAAACCATTGTATCCTTCTTTACTGCTCCATAAATGTAGTTAGCCCAGAGCAAATTTAGCTTCTCAAGTCACCCTCATTCAGTCCAGGGTAAGTTGTGAGTCTGACTACAGTGTGGACAGAGCATTTGATTAAGGTTGGTAGAGAGCTAAAAATGAAATCAATTTATTCTGGCAATGAATTAATAAGCCAACCTTCAGGAGTGGGGTGTAGTGATATGCAGATTTTTCAAGGCCAGCTGCTCTACTTTGGTATTAATTTTATAGCAGATAGAACCCTCGGGACCTGGGATGATTCTTGTTTCTAAAACTTTAATATATAATCAGGGAGCCAGAAACTTGAATCTCAAGGTCCCACTAAATTAGAAGTAGGCCATGCCTTGTTCACCTTCTATTACTCTTTTGACTCGGCCTAAAGCAATGTGGATACCCCTCAACCCTGACCTGGCCTGCCCTGCCCTAAGATCCCTAGCCATCTCTCTGTGAGTGGGCATTTAAGCCAAGTCACTTTAGAGGAGGAGGATTAAGAAGATGTACCAACTCCCACATTCTCCAAGTCCAAGTGACAATAATGAAGGGCATACTTGATTTCGATCCTCATCCGGCACTTTAAATCTGTTCTCACTTGGTCCAGAATTCTGAGATCAGAGAGGTGACAGCATCCCTGTGCAGGCCATTCTTGAGTGATTTTATCTTAAATGACAGCCTGCTTCCTTCTCTCCCAGCTGTGCTGCCCTGCTCTTCTAATCTCTGACTTTCTCATTTCAGAGAAACTGTTGGAAGTGTCTCCACACCAGAGGCAGGGATGGAGCTGAGGAACTCTGACTCTTGGCTCTGGTGTTTCCACCTGATAACATCATGAAACATAATGGTGTTTCCAGGACACACTGGCGTTTCCATCTGAGAAGACCCCACAGCAGCACATCGCTGACCTTAACCACACTGAACAGCAGAACTCAATAGCGCTAAGTGACAATAGTGTTCTGCCACCACAGACGAATGTTTCAATGACATCCGAAAATGACCGGATAAAACCATGGAAGTCAGGGCAATTTCAAAATTGCCAGCCTTCTCTGTATTTTATTAACATACAGTCCATGCTGAATTGTAATTATTTGCACACAAGTGATTTTGCCTGCTTATGGACTCCTTTTGAGGGAATGGAATCACTTCCTATTAATCTGTGTTCCCTGGACTCTAGCACATTCTCTCCAAGTCAGATAATCAGTAAATGTATCAAATAAAGGAAGAAGAGAGAAAAGGGAGCAACATGATTATAATTAGACTATCTTTAACCTGAAGATTAAAATAAGATTTCATTTTCCTTTACTGAGGTCCTATCCTTCCCAGATATAAATTGATTTCAGACATTTAAGTCTTTATTAAGCTATAATGTTACATTTGCATATGAGCGACTTGGACAAAAACACAAGTTTTCCATATGCAAAAGCCTTCATGTTTATTTCACATTGATAAGCCAACTAAAATTTCAGTAGTTCCTATAAAATGTTCTAAAAAACACATAAGCACTCCATAAGGATTAGTCTTTCCGGGCCTCCTCGGTGGCGCAGCGGTTGAGTGCTGGGTTGCGAAGCTGCCCACAGCCTCTACAGCGCTGGTTTGATCCCCGGCTGCTCCCCAGCCACCGGAGGAGGGTCCCACATGGCGCGCAGACCTCTCCTGCCACCCGCTGCTCCCCTCAGCAGTGTACTTCAGTCCTTCTGCCTCCTCTGCTCCCCACTCTGGCTCTGGTGAATTCTCTCACCCTCCCGTGCTTCTGACTGTGCCCAGTGCTTGTATAAATAAATAAAAATGAATAAAAAAAAAAAGGATTAGTCTTTCCTCTGCAGAAATGGAAATGGGACAGCCTTGGGCTGACAACACAGGGTTAGAAAGTGAGCAAGTTCCTATAACTCTACTGAAACATACCCTTTCAGCAACTAAGCATCTGTGAGGGACTTTTCTGGTAGAGAGACATGTTTGAGTCCTAACCTAAAATTTCAGAGCAAAAACCAGACCTTTTTCTTCAAGCTCTGGTGTGAGGCTCTGTGTGTGTAGGGTATTCAATATACTGCTCTCTCAAGACAATTCACAGGGTCACAGTGAATGGACGGGTACTAAAGAGGGTCATTGTGGACAGCCATAAATGACTTCTATTTCCTTCAAATCAGCATGTCAGCTCTGGAATTTTCTGATTGTTGAGCATGATAAAAGCACCTCTTGTTGTGTTAGTGAAAAGGTGTATTTTTAGAAGGCAACTAAAGATGGGGGTTGTTTGCCTGAAGAACCAACCATGTGATTGGTGGGTTGGAACTTCCAGTCCCACCCCCAGGCCTCTAAGAGAGGGACTGGAGTTAGAATCAATAGCTAATGGTCAATGAGTTCATTAATTACATCTTTGTAATGAAGCCTTTATAAAGACCCAAGAGGAAGGGGCTTCAGAGAGCTCCAGGGCAGGTACACATGAGATTTGCGGAGAAATGTATGCCTTTCTCTACATTTCCTCCAACTGGCTGTTCCCAAGTCATTTCCTTTAAAATAATCAGTGATCTAGTGAGTAAACTGGTTTCCCGAATTCTGTGACCTGCTCTAGTACATTAACTGAACTTGAGGAGGTTGTGCTGGGAATCTCTGATGTATAGCCAGTTGGTCAGACACACATGTGACAATCTGAGCTCCTTTTGGGTACCTGAAATCTGAGCAGGAAGTTGTGGGGACCTCCAGTCTGTAGTCAATCAGGAGCACAGGTAACTGCTGGGGTTTGTGACTAGCATATGAAAGAAGGGCAGTCTAGAAGGGAAAAGTGAGCCCTTTACCTGCAGTATCTAATGCCATCGCTGTGTAGACAGTGTCCAAATTGAGCTGAATTGAGTTCTCAGACACCCTCCTAGTTGTGTGTGATGTCAAGAAGTCTACATGCACACACACGTGCACACATACCTTCATTGAAATTAGGTCCAGGAACCCTAGCTATCTGGGAATATTATAAATATTGTTTCCAATTTTATAAGGCACAAATGAGAAAATCAGGGGCACACACATGATATCATGTGCCTATATCAACTCTCAAGAGACAGATGTGAGACAAAGAATAAGCCCATGTGATTCCAAGGTGTCTATTATTTCTCCACTTGCCTGTTGTTCCTTCTAAGATGGAGCCAGAAAAAGTGCGTCATATTGGACCATAAGAGGAAGAAGTGAGAAAAACAAGTGTCAAGTAAGCAACATGTTATACAAGGATCCCTAAACCACACCTAGCTAGGAAGCATAAAATGCTTTTTCTTGGCCATTTCAGTACAAGGTCATTTGTGTCTGAAAAGAAGCTGACGCACAAAGAGGCTGAGGTACCTGCAGCAAAATCTGAAATCCTCTCTGGAGCTCTGCTGAGGGACTGCACTCCTGGATTCTGGCCAGATAAATTAAAATTTCACACTTTTGTGGAAAAAATTATTTTAATTCTAGTGAAGATGGCTTCATTAGTCACTTCCTTCAAGGAAAGCACCACACAGATGGTTGAAAAACTATAAGTACTAAATTTCTTGAAGCAACCATGACTCATTTCATTATTTGGCCTGTTTCTGTTCTTCTTTTTTGCGTTTTAACTAATGGCCATATGTAAAAGATCAGTTGGTGCTACCTACCAGAGTGTTGACAGTAAATGGCTGGTCCATGGTGTCCTGTCTATGAAATGAAGTTGTTTACTCTTTCTTCTCAATCACTTCATCTGTTTCAAAGATAAAAAGCAAAACTAACATTATTTTTTGTGAACTCAAGTTTCAAATCCCAATCCCTAGGGTTCTTTCTGCCTCAGAAGACTATGAGTTGAAATAACTTATACGATCTTATTTTTTTTTTTAAACAAACTGCTGGAAATCTCTTCGTGAACACACAAAGCTGCAGGTGGATACGGTTTCTTAAAATGACCTTTAAACATGAAGGTATGAAGAGAATAATCGTCTAATACCCAGTATGAGTCTGCTGGGTGTTATCTTACTTAGGAGTCTATGCAAGGTTATGAAGTGGGTTTACCTTCTGCAAAAGGAGAAAGATCAACTCTGGGGCCATGGACTCTTAGCCCTGAGTCAGTCTGGGCTTAAACTAAAACTTATTAGCTGTGGAAGGCAAACTTCTAAGGTAGTTCTCCTCTTTGGCATCCATAGACCTGTCATCTCCTCACTTTGAGTGTGGACAAGACCTACAATTGGCTTCTAATCAGTAAAGTGTAATAGAGAACAGAGATATTATTCCCATGTGTTACATCATGAGGTAAGGATGAGTAGATTTTATAGATGTATTAAGACTTCTAATTAGTTGATATACATTAATGAAGAAGTAGGTTATCCTGGGTAAGTGTGACCTAATCAGGTGAGACCCTTCAAAGAAGGGGATACTCTCCTGCTGGCCTAGAAGACTTAGGCACCATGAGTTCCATAATTGCAGGAAAATGAAATAACAGTACTCATGTCATATGGTTGTGGGGTGGATTAAATGAGTTAGCAAATAAAGTGCTTAGAATAGTTCCTAGCAATAGTCAATATTATATAAATGTTAGCTTTTAGTAGAATTTTTATTTTGCAACTGAGGATACTGAGAATCAGAGATGTTAAGCTGATATGCTCAGTTCAAATAGCCACTCAATGAAGGGCCTCCTTCCTTTACATGCCAATTTCAGTCAAGCTCTGTATCACCATTTTCCACATTGTCTAAATTTACACCAGCCTTTATATTCCACTAATCATTTACATAACACCAACATCTTGATTCCTTCATTTATGAAATGAAGGAGTTAAGCTTATTCTTTCAAGTCCTAACATCCTGTGAACCCAGAAATATCAGAAATAGATCACTCAACCCTTCCATGCTATTTTCTGGCCTGAATCCATGGTTGAAAAACCCTTCTTGGAAAGTCACTTGTCACATCTAGGCTTTCCTTTCACCCTCTCCAACTAATCCCTGGACTAAACATTGATATCTGAGCTTGCAGATTGTGGAAATACCCAAGAAAAATGACCAGGAGTAGAGTTTAAAACCTGAACTAATTCTGGTACCACTGAATATTAGCAGCCCCATTTCAGGAATTTCTACTTCTCAGTGAGAAGAAATTAACAAGAAAAAAAAAAAAAAGATAAAAAATAAATAGAACAAAATGGCTTATGGGGGCCTCCCTGGTGGTGCCAGGGGTTAAGTCTCAGCACTATTAAGCTATCGCCAGCCACTGCAGCACAAGTTCTATCCCCAGCCTGACAGCTAACCCACATGGCACAGCAAACCTCTCCTGTCTCTCCGCTGCTCCCCTCAGCAGTGTATTTCAGTAGATCTGCCTGTTCTGATTCCCGCTCTGTCTCTGGTGAATCCTCTCACCGCCCCGCCCCACCTATGGCTTACACCACAGCTCTTGTATGCATAAATAAATAAATCTTAAAAAAAAAAAAAAAAAGGCTTATGGGGAATTTCGGGCAGAGTAGGAGAAAAAGGAGACCAAGAAACACTAGCAAGTCATTGACTAGGGTCTTGCAAAAAATCTAAAATTATTTCTTTCAGAGGTTGCTAAGATCCTTAAAAAGAGAACAAATGATTTTAAAAGTTGGAAATGTGAGAACAGCAGTTCTTAAAGTTTACTGTGCCCAAAAATCATATAAACCTGAGATTTATTTAAAAGGCAGGTTCCTGGCACTCAGCCACAAAGGATTCTGAATCCATCAGTTTGAAGCCCAGTAACTGGCACTGACTATTAGCATGTGGCCCAGGTGATTTGGCCCATGGGGGTTTCAAGCAATACTTTGAGAGAGGTTACATTAGAGAATGTATCCATCAACATTTTAGTTGTAAGCAAAGGCCCTCTTGAATTCACAGGATAATGAAGCAATCACAAATTTCCAGAAAAGCCAGGAAAATGAGGTCTGGCAGCTACATAGCCAGTAGCATCACCTCAAATCACAGCTGCACAGGCCTGACAGGTAGAAGAGTCTGCAGCTTCCACCACCAACACTAGTTGCTGCCCTGGAAACTCAGTGGAAGTGTCCAATTGGCAGAGCCTGGGCAGCATGCCTGTCACCGGCTGCAAACTAGTTGAAAACATAAAGATTTAGCACTTTACACTCCATGGCAGGCAGTGGTATGTGCTGAGTAAGAAAAGGTGGATTCAGGACCAGATGGCCAAAATCAACAGTATATATGCTCAAAAATACAACACACTTGTCTGTAAGAGCTTCCAAATGTATGAAATGTATAATTCAATCAATAAAAACACCAGAATTTATTCAAATCCCATCACTATCCACTTCCAAACAATTTTATTTATAATTCAGAAATGGAAACCAACTCCTTTCAAATCCACGATGATGAAAGAAGTTTATACATCAGTAGGTAACTTATATTTTTTGGACCATTTACTACTCGGTGGCAGTAATCTAGTTTTAATTCCTTTATTTGTTAATCCCCAGTCCTACCACTTACAGTTGCAAAAGAAACAATTGCCAAAGTCAACATAAACAGGTCATGTTCTCCAGCTTAATAGCTATCAAGGCATGATATGGGATCCTCAAGATCCTTATAATGGGTCTGCAAAGTAAATATTAGTTTCACAATATTACTAAGTTTTGGGCCTCCCTGGTGGTGCAAGGGGTTAAGTCTCAGCACCACAAAACTATCACCAGCCACTGCGGCACAGTTCAATCCCCAGCCAAGGAGCTAACTCACATGGCACAGCAGACTTCTCCTGACTCGCCTGCTGCTCCCCTCAGCAGTGCATTTCTATCAACCTGCCTGTTCTGTTCCCCACTCTGTCTCTGGTGAATTCTCTCATCCCTCCCCCGCACCTCTGGCTTACACCCCAGCTCTTTCATGCAAAAATAAATAAAATAAATCTTTAAAAATATATATTACTAAGGTTTTTTGCCTTTTAACCATCAATCTGTTCCAGGGGGTACAAATTAATGGAATGCTTACTTGCATATTCTTTTATATTCCTGCTTTGAATTTTAATGTGGTAAATATAAACATATATAATTCATACAAACAAAGCTTTTTAATGTCCTTAGTAATCTTTAAGAATGCAAAGGTGTCCAAAGACCAAAGATCAACTATGCAAACAAATTAAATCAAAAACTCATGATGCTACTTCAATCTAACCAGAAATATAATAGTTCATAAGAATTTACAGGAGGGAAAAATAAATATCAATTATTACCTCCCACTTGTGTTACTAAGATCTTGTTAAAATAGTTAAGAGAACTGAAGGTACAGTAAGATGTACTTTACTTCACTCAGAACCTCAGACCCATAAGAGCAAATAAACATAATGCTATATATTCTACAATTCCCATTCTCTGTTTTGAAAATGGAAATAACAATACATTGTAACACACAGATTTCAGGTGTGCAGCACTATAAATTAACATCCATATATACTACATTAAGTTCAGCTCCAAAAGTTCCATTCTAGGGCCTCTCCTGGTGGCGCAGCGGTTGAGTGCTGGGCTGTGAAGCTGCCCGCACGCAGCCTCTGCAGCACCAGTTCGATTCCCAACCACCAACGAGGGTCCCACATGGCACGACAGACCTCTCCTGCCGCGCCCGCTGCTCCCCTCAGCAGTGTATTTCGTTGGTCTGCCTGTTCTGTTTCCCACTCTGGCTCTGGTGAATTCTCTCACCCTCCCGTGCTTCTGACTGTACCCAGTGCTTATATAAATAAATAAATAAATATATATATATTTTTTAAAAGTTCCATTCTATTCTTCGTCTACAACTGACTCCTTAAACTTGACTTACCACCCCCCTGCCTTCTACCCTTCTGGTAACTACTACTTTGTTCTTATCATCTACAACTTTATTTTTGTTTTATTTAGTTCATTTGTTTGGTTTCTCTATCTACCACATGAGAAAGATCACATGGTGTTTGTCTTTCTTCACCTGACTTATTTCACTAAGCATAATATCCCCTAGGTCCATCCCTGTTGTTGCAAATGGCAGAACTTCATCTTTTTTATAGCTGAGTACTATTGCATTGTGTTTTATATAGCACATCTCCTTTATCCACTGGTCTGTTGATGGGCACTTAGGTTGAATGCTGCCATAAACATGGGGGTGCATATATATATCCCTTTCTAATATTGAAATAAAAGTTTGGGTTAACACATGGCCATCTTGGGAAACTGACTCTTTCCAGGCTTCCCGGGTAGTTAGATGTATCCTTGTCATCAAGTTCTAGCTGTGGGGTGTGAACAAGGAGACTGCCATCAAAGCCTACATCCTGCCCTTGAAGGGAAGGGACATGATCTCTACATGCAGCTCTTTACTTTCTGCCAGCTGGAATGCTGATGTGCAAGTGAGCCATCTTGAGTAAAGAGGATGAGCCATGGCAAATCATGAAGAGAAAAGGAGTATGCTAGTTTGCTTATGGAGCTTAAGAGTAGAAAAGTTGGACAGGAGGCACCACGGAACCAGAAACCTGGCTCCCACAATGCTGGGAGCTGAAGGTGGGGGTAGAAGTGATTAACATGGTCATTAAACCAGCTATAGAAATGAAAAATCCTTAGATGCCAACATCTAGAGCAAGTACCACACTGCTATATAGAGAGAGGCACAGACCAAAGGAAAGAGGATGTGGAGGTTGAGGACCATTAGAGAATCTCTGGTCCTTTTCAAATTCAGCAGAGTTATTCAAAATTAACAAAAGTTGGGCCTCCCCGGTGGTGCAGCGGTTGAGCGCTGGGTTGCGAAGCT